GTGGTGGCGGCCTCATCTCACTGCACTCCAGCCTGGGCGACAGAGCGAGACTCCTTCTCAAAAAAAAAAAAAAAAAAAAAAAAGAAACCACTAACTGTCTCCAAAGTGGCTGAACAGTTTTTCATTTTTATCAACAGTGAATGAGTTTTTTCTACTTTCTCCACATCCTTGCCAGCGTTTGTTATTGTCACCGTTCTGGATTTTGGCCATTCAAATAGGCGTGTAGTGGTATCTGATTGTTCTTTTAATTTGCATTTCCCTGATGTCATAGGATGTTGAACATCTTTTCATATGCTTATTTGCCATCTGTATATATTCTTTGGGTAGTATCTGTTTAGGTCTTTTGTGGATTTTTAAATTGAGTTGTTTGTTTTCTGATGGTTGAGTTTCAAGAGTTCTTTGTATATTTCTTGGCCTTGGTTTTAACTTCTACCTTTCCACTGTCTCTTGCTTGGTCCCTGTTTAGTGATGATCTTGAATTGTTTGGGCCATTTTCTCTATCTTGATATTTAATCATTCTTTTGTATTGTTGATGAAACTGATTAAGAAGTGGTATCTTTTTGCCTCTGTCTTTATTCTGCTTTTCCCACATGTCACCCAATACCTATCAAAGTTTTACTCTTTGAATACCTCACCAGATGTATGTTCTACAGCCTTTCCTGATCTCTGGTGTCTGACGTGATCATTTATTCTCTCAACAAGTATTGCTTTGTTCTTACATCCCTTAGGGTCCTTACCAATTGTCTCATGACTTGTTGAATCATCACTTCCTGAGGATATGGACCCTATGTTCTTATCCCTCTCAGACTGATAGCTCAGACCTTTGAACCTGGGAAGTTCTTATTAGTAAATAACTGTTGAATTCATGAACAAACGAAGGAAGGAATGATTGTTTAACATAGTCCGGCAAAACCAGTTTTTAAATTAGCCTCTTTAATCACTGAATTTAGTCTGGAACATAAAAACAAGTAGTCCACACAAGAAGTTTGCCATGTTACTTCATGTATCTCTAGTCAGTGAAATCTGAATAATAGTCTGAAAATCTCAGATTTGTTTTCTAGTACCATTTTGTGTTTATCTCCATATGGCTAGCACCGAAATGTAGTGCTTGAGTTTTAGTACATACAAAAAATGCCTTCTAAAAGCTTTTGAAGAGTTAGTAAAATGTTAGCTTTAATAATGTTTAGCAGCCAACTAAAACTTCTAGGTATCATCTTTACAACAATAGAAAAGGAATGCCGTCAATAGTAATGCCTGCATATTCAAAATGGTGATAATAGACATAATGATAATAATGTTAATAATACATATAATAAAATTAATTAACTTTTGAGAGTACTCACTTGGGGCCAGGTTTCATGCTTTAGGTAGAGTATCTCCTTTAATTCTTAAGAGTAACTGTGGACTAATTTTACTGACAAAGAATTTGAGGCTCAGAGAAGTGAAATAACTTGACTTAAACCCATACAGCAAATTATTTAGCACAGAATTTAGACCTAGATTTCTCTAACTACAGGTCTCAGTATAGGTGTCAATTCATTAGTTAGCTTAAACTCATCTTCAGAGTCAAAATTAGATGTCCCATTGTGAACTGATTTTTGTTTTATTTTTACATAGGCTTTTTCAAGTTATGTTTGACTGATGTTCAATATCCCTTAAATAGTTGTTTTTTCAAAAGCAAGGAGAGCTCACAGCTGTATCCTTGCTAACCAGATCATGAAAATGAATATATCATTAATAAGTAATTTTGAATGAATGAACCAACCAGTCAATTGCCTAGGGATTTAGATGGAATTTAAATAAATGTTTTCTGAAAGTCTATGATCTAATCTGTAGCTGGATTCGCAAGGATGCAAAATGGGAAGAAAATGAAGGAAACCTGCTTAGTTATATAGCAAGTTCTATGTTAATCCTTTACACTGAGTATTTTATTTAATCCTCACATTAGGATATATATATATATATGTAGGTATATACTATATTAAGAAACTTAGTTCAGAATGGATAAGAAACTTGCTCAGGGCCAAAGCTTTTAAGACTTAGAGGTGAGCTCTTAATCAGGCCTTTTATATTTCCAAGCCCATGCTGTCTCCATTATACAAGCCTTTATAAATTAGGTTATTATAATTTTTAAAAAAGTTATTTATGATCATATAAACACTAAACATGGGGGTTGACTATAAATAAAGTGTTCTTACATCATTTCTAATTTTCCCATAGATGGTTTTAATTTTGGCAAGGCTATGTAGGGCTTTTCTCTATCCTGCACGGCTTTCCGATGATTAAAATGCTTGGACTTAATATACTGATAAAAAATACAAATATATTATTGAGTTGTGTAGAAACATTCATAAGATTTCAAGAAGGATTTAGAATAGTAAACTTCACATGGAGAAACACTATTAAAATTCCTATAGAAATTTAAAAACAAAGCTTATTTTGGTATGCAATTTTAGATTAGTTAACCATACCATTTTGAAAATAGGTAGAACATGGAATTATGATTCCAAAACTTGTGTGCATGCATGGACATTTTAAGGGGAATATTGTATAATATAGGCTTAATTTATGAACTTTCACCCCAAAAATATAGAATGACTTCTTTTTTAGTTATACAAAATATGCTGAAGTTCAATACTAGCATTTCTTTAATTTCTGTCAGATAGTATCATGAATATTATTATAAAATACTGCTATAAAATCTTTAGAAATTAATTACTGAGAGGCCAACCAGCATACATTCCAAAAGATATTTGTTTTGGTCTGGATAAAGAATACCAGTGAGTGGCCAAGTATGGTGGCTCATGTCTATAATCCTAGTACTTTGTGAGACCAAGGAGGGAAGTTTGCTTGAGCCCAGGTTTTCGAGACCAGCCTGGCCAACATAATGTGATATCATCTCTGTATAATTTTTTAAAAAAATTACCCAAGGCTGAGGGAGGAGGATCGCATGAGCCCTGGAGGTTGAGACTGCAGTGAGCTGTGATAGTTTCAATGCACTTCAACCTGGGCAACACAGCAAGACCCTGTCTTAAAAAATAAAAATAAAAAACTAAAGTAAATAAATAAAGAATACCTATAAAGTTTTAATACTCTTATATCCCTATACATATATGTAATATTCTATTAAAAGGAGATAAACTAATATCAGACTGAAATAAAGCATTCTAACTCTGGAAGCCACATTGGCAGTGTGTTTTGGCAGCTATATCCAAATAATACTGAAATACTCTTGTCAAGAATAAGGCAATATCTCAACTGTTATTTTTTTATTTTCTATCCATCCCTATTTCAGAAATAGTTGAGGTATATGATAACAAAAAATACAATGAAGTAATTGAGAAAGAACTAAACGTGTAAGAGACATACAATGATAATTGCACCAGGATATGAGAGAGAAATTGTTAATGCAATTGGTAATAGAGTTAATGTTTAGCTTCCCGGCTACAAGACTAAAAGAAAAACACAATTAAGTCTTATTTTCCAGTCATATGAAGCATATAAAAGCATTAGGAGAGCATTTTGATAGTGTAAACTCTGAGGATTAAATGTGATTTTTGTAAAGCACTTAACATTAAATATACTTAGCACATGGTAAATACCTATATAATGGTATGATAGTGATATATTTCTAACAACTTAAAATTAAATAAGGAATTCATCCTGTGTACTTTCATATCAGGGTCATTGATCACAATAAAGGGTCACAGCTTTAACAACAAGTATGTAAAATATATATACACAGCTTCATCTGGTTATTTCTTATACTGAACCTTAATATCACATTAAGGACATAATATTTTATCATATTATGAATGCATATAGCAATTCAAAGTTATAGGGTTTTGGTGATTTACCTTGATAAAACACAGCACCTAAAGGCGGTGATATGTTTAGGCTGTGTCCCCACCCAAATGGCATCTTGAACTGTAGCTCCCACAATTCTCACATGTTGTGGGAGGGACCTGGTGGGAGATAACTGAATCATGAGGGCAGGTCTTTTCCCTTTCGTTCTTGTGATAATGAATAAGCCTAATGAGATCTCATGGTTTTACAAAGGAGAGGTCCCCTGTACATGCTGTCTTGCCTGCCACCATGTAAATCATGCCTTTGCTCCTCCTTCACCTTCCGCCATGATTGTGAGGCCTCACCTGCCATGTGAACTGTGAGTCAATTAAGCCCCTTTCCTTTATAAATTACCCAGTCTTAGGTATGTCTTTATTGGTAGCATAAGAACAGACTAATACAGAATGTAATAGAATAATTTGCAGTGTGTATATTTTAAGGAAGTGTTTCAGCAGATAATTTGAAATGAATTCTATTGAGTGTTCAAAATGATGTTAAGTGGCTATCAGCCACATGCTTTGGCTAAGGTAGTATAATTCACATTTTATTAGAAAATGTTTGAAACTAATGTGTGTTCCCTCTAAAGTAGAGGGCCATGCATGTCTTCCTGCAATGGATAAAAACTTTTGCCACATTGTATCTGTTGAAAGCCTTCACTCCATGAGTGAAGGTTTTAGTCTTGGACATTATTGAATTAATTTTTGTAGGTGTCACAATGATCATCAGATATTAAGTAATAATCTAAATTTCATTATGAATTTTAATTTTAAGATATGTGTATACTTGGACAAAAAATTTTGGGGAAGAATGATAGTAATATTTAGTGATTCTCATGCTTTTATGGTACTACCATCTAATCAGCTGTAATAATTTGTGTTTGTATAGAGGTAAAGGAATTATCGATAAGGTTACATTCTGGTGTTTGAGCTAGCAAGTGCTACAGAATGTCTGCAGAGAGGAATTACATAGAGACAAGTGTCTTTATACTGCTAATGGAGCTCTCCTTTAGTGATGCAGTTGTGATCCTGGTTGATGGTGGAAGAACAAAAATATTTGTGCCACTAATCATTGTAACTCCTTTTGTATTGGGACTGAATAAGTTCTTAAAAAAAGCAACAAACATACGCATGTGCACACATGTACTTTTTCTTCAGGACTATAGAGTTAACATCTTCCTGAGACAAAAATGGAATGACCCCAGGCTGAAGCTCCCCAGTGATTTTAGGGGTTCAGATGCACTGACAGTGGATCCAACGATGTACAAGTGTTTATGGAAACCTGATTTATTTTTTGCAAATGAAAAAAGTGCCAATTTTCATGATGTAACCCAGGAAAATATCCTCCTTTTTATTTTTCGTGACGGAGATGTCCTTGTCAGCATGAGGTACTCTTTCATATTTAATATTTGTGCATTTATATTTTCCTTCTAAAATCAATGGATGACAGAGTATATTAAATTATTTCTAAGACCCATTTCTGCTTTCAGGTTATCTATTACTCTTTCATGCCCTTTGGACTTGACCTTGTTTCCCATGGATACACAACGTTGCAAGATGCAACTGGAGAGCTGTATGTAAATGAGAACATAATTGATTATGAAAATAAAGTGTTTAATATGTCTGGGTAATACATTCTACTGACATCTTAGATAACAGTGGTAAAACTAGTGCTTTGATTATAAATAGTCATTAAAATATTTAGGGAAATTATAGTTACTCTTTTATTAATACTATATTAAGCTGTATTAAGATAAATCATTTTTGTTCTAGTCTTATTTCAGTTCATTGATGTAGGTGTATATTTCTAACATTCCAATTGCCATTATTATTTGAGTTAGTAATATAGGCAATGTGAAAGAGAAAATCACATCCTATTTTCAATAGCATTTCTGATGTTAAAACCAGATTTTCTTAGCAGAAAATTTGGAAAACATTGCAAAATATTCTGTAAATCTAACTAAGCATTCATTTTCTATGAACGTAAAAAAAATGTAAAAATTTTTTTTACAAAATTGTATTTTTTATGTTTATTTGATCATATATTTTTTCAGTTATTAAAAGGTACACTAGGTGTATTAATTGAAATTATTATTTATACAACGTACTAATTAATTTCCCATGATGCTTATCTTTTGAAAATAAAAGTAAGACATAAGCCTCGAAAAATTAACACAAATGCAAGGAATGTTTAACCTGAATACATGGATCATCTTATAATAAGGTTGTCTATTTCTTCAGAGAGTAAAGAATAATTACCGGGCAAAATATGTTGCATATATGTTCTAGGTTATATGTCTAAAGTTACTTTGTGGTTGTTTTTTAAATAATGTACTGAAATGGGTCCTAAATTTGAGCAGTACTTTTTCTAACTATAAAATGAGATTTTGCACATGTAAGTGTATGTGTTTATATGTTTGCACATGTCTATGTTTATGTATGTATTGTATATGAGTGCCTGCATGTCAAGATGTACTTGTATAAAACTTCCAACAGTGCATTTACGTTTTGATACCATTACTGGATGCACTGAAGTATTACTTTCAAAAATACATGCACTTTAGAGTTCGATAGTAGACTAGTGTATGCTGTGAAATTCTTTAAATTGTAGCCACATACCTAAGCCCAAAATGTGTGTGCTTCAGGATGCTGAAATGATGCTGTAATTATATCCCTTTGAGGGATTATTGTATTAGCCTTCTATGGTGATGCAACTCCTTTAGGGAATTTTGCAGTGATTATTATTATTATTATCATTATTACTATTTTTTGAGACAGAGTCTTGCTCTGTCACCCAGGTTAGAGTGCAGTGGTTCGGCTCACTGCAACACCCACGTTGTGGGTTCGACTGATTCTCCTGCCTCAGCCTCCCGAGTAGCTGGGATTACATGCACCCACCACCGCGCCTGGTTAATTTTGTGTGTGTGTGTGTGTGTGTGTGTGTGTGTGTGTGTGTGTATTTTTAGTAGAGATGGGGTTTCACCATCTTGGTCAGGCTAGCCTCAAACTCCTGACCTCATGATCCACCCGCCTTGGCCTCCCAAAGTGCCGGGATTACAGGTGTGAGCCGCCGCGCCCGGACGATTTTTTTAAAAAAATTTAGATGTTTCCATGATTTCATTTCTTTTAAAAATTCCAGGGAGCGGGGCTGGGCGCGGTGGCTCACGCCGGTAATCCCAGCACTTTGGGAGGCCGAGGCGGGCGGATCACGAGGTCAGGAGATCGAGACCATCCTGGCTAACACGGTGAAACCCCGTCTCTACTAAAAATACAAAAAACTAGCCGGGCGCGGTGGTGGGCGCCTGTAGTCCCAGCTACTCGGGAGGCTGAGGCAGGAGAATGGCGTAAACCCGGGGGGCGGAGCTTGCAGTGAGACGAGATCGCGCCACTGCACTCCAGCCTGGGTGACAGAGCGAGACTCCGTCTCAAAAAAAAAAAAAAAAAGTTCCAGGGAGCGTATTACATGACCGTAAATGTATACATTCAGAAAGCTTGCATCACTTATTTATTACCTTTTTATTGATGACCATTAAAAAATAATTCTGACATAGAGAAATAAGTTATTGTATATGATGTCCTAGGATTTTAACTCTGTGCAATATGCTTATTATTTAAACATGTTCTTTCTTTAAGATGAATATCTTTAACTCTTGTACTAGTATTTCCATTAGTGCCATGGATTTTACCTCTTTACATTTTAAACTATAATTTCATATAAGAAGGTCTTATTTTCTCTCCTTTGCTATGTTTAAAATTTGGATTACTAAAATATTTTTAAAACGTTATTAATTATATTTTAAACTAACATATTTATTTACTTTTGTTTATAGTTGGTTACACAACTGATGATTTAAGATTTATCTGGCAGTCAGGAGATCCTGTGCAATTGGAAAAAATTGCCTTGCCTCAATTTGATATCAAAAAGGAAGATATTGAATATGGTAACTGTACAAAATACTATAAAGGCACTGGTAAGTAATATTCTTTAAATAAAGCTAAGTTCTATTTCAAAGATACATTTTAATTAATACATAGCCAAGGGGAGAGTGGAAAAGAATTGGCCAAAACTTTAAATTAGCAAGTAGTTTATCTTTACATTCATATGTTTAAGTCTTTCACAGAATTGTATTCCCTAAGTTTTTTGAACTTTTAATTATTAGATAGACATGCTTGATTTTTCTTTATGTAATTTTCGTAGCGAGAGGTTTTTAATTGTTTATGTTAGTAATGAAAACTCTTTCAGGTAGTAGTTTTCAAATGTCAAGAAATTCTACTTCAGGCAGGATTCCATTTGGGGCTGAACATTTTAGATATAAACAATATAATCTATATATGTTCACCCATTGTTTTGGGGTAGTTTTTAGATGGTGGTTGACCCATATTCTTATTTTAAAAACCATTTATCCTTATGCTATGCAGGAAGCAATAAGAGTGTGAAATAGTTGGACATCAGTAAATATTCCCTGTACAGTCTTCTTGACCTAGGTCATAGAACAGCCAATTATGAAAAGGAAAACAAATTAATCTCATTCTTTAAATTACATGAGTTTTTGCAGAAAGTACAGTACTCACTACTCAATACTGTCATAATATGATTAGTGTTCAACCTTTTATTATCTGCTAGTAGTTCTAAGTTAGTGAGGGTTTTAGATATTGAATATAGTGTTATTTCACTTAGCAATATAAAGAAGATTATTCAATTTTGATTATTACATTAGTAATAATAATCATTTCAACATGTAAATTATTGCACAATTCTAATTCTGCTTTTGGAAGTAAATCATAACAAAAACATTCAGAAATAGATATAATTAAAGCTTTATTGTAAAATGCATGTTGACTTGAAATAATAAAATGTATACAGTATAATTGTATAAAACTGAGAGAGATTAGATGTTTCTAGAGTGCTGATAGAATGAGCTAGAATGCTGTCCTCACGACATCATCAAGGCAACATATAATTTAAAACATTCCTGTTGACATTAACAGGTGGAGAGAACATTTACATATTTACAGTGTTGTGATAAAGACAATACTAGGCCGCTTGAGGATACAGTTAAACATCTGTTGTTGACTTCAAGATATGTTAGCAAATGATATAACTTTAATATGTAAGCATTCCTTCTTCTTAAAGCTTATAGTACATCAGGAAAACAGAGATAATAGTCAAATATATTGCTAAATAATTATTGAGGTTTTTAAAATTAAAAAATGGAGAGCTATTAAAAATTTGACCATCAAAGTATTCAATGAAGAAGTCATAGATAGTTAGATATGAAAGTGATCTAATTGATAATTCTGAGCCAGCTCCTTTATTTAGCACATAAAATAACTGAAGAGCAGAGTGAATAAACTACTTATTAAATTAGTTATTACTGGTGACTTATTACTTATCAAATGTCACCAGGCAAATTACTCTCAGCCATGGGACCAAGAGTAGTATTCCATGTCCCATTTGTACTTCAAATTAAGAAGACTATAGTTGTTAGAGATTTTTGAGACTGTCGTATAAAAACGCGTGTTTAGTAGATAGGTTTTTGATCTCTTGCTATATCCTAGGCATTGTTTTTAGTTCGTTGCAGTAATTATTTAACTTAATCATCCCAACAATTCTATGAATTAAGTACTTTTATTATCCTCATTGTACACATTAGGCTAATGAAACAGACACTTGCCCAAGGTCATACAGTTACAGTGATTGTGTGGGAGAGGGAGTCTGATACTGTTACACGATTAATTCCTGTGGAGTCCTATTATACTTTGAAAATTGTTACCCACATCCAGATTATATGCTTGACATTTCAAAAAGAGCAGTGTCTAAATTGTTGTGAGAAATTTGAAGGAGACCGTATCAGAGTTTTAAATTTCTTAGAGATGAAAATGACACTAGTGATTTTATTTGTAATTTTGTGTAATAGCATATGATTATATAATAGCGTTGAAAGTCCTAGGAGTGTTCATTTTTTTCATTTTTAAGCTGTACTTTAAAAAAAAGTCTCCATTTGGGGACTCAGTAGTGAATAAAAGAAAGGTCCCTGACCTTTAGTGAGCCATATTTCAATGTGGTAAACAAGTAAAAAAGTAAAATATAGTTCATTTTAGTTCTTAGAATAAAATTAGAAGGTTTGCTGTGATAGACAGAATTTGGAAGCTTACTCAAGAGTTATAAGTTTTTTTGTGGAATTTTTTGAGTCATAAATAATTCACTGAAATCTAATTAGCCACAGAAAATAACAACAAAACAACTTATGCCTAACAATATTTTTTGGCACTTAGTATGTTTCAGGGACTTGATCAGTACTTTTATGAATTATCATATGAATGTAAGTAAAATATTTGTTAATGTTTGGATAATTAGAAATCTGTTTAGAAAAATAGACATTGAAAATACATGCAATAGTTAACAGTGTAGAAAAATGGGAAAGTATAAATATATATATGAGCATTACATAAAAATGATGGCCAGTATTTAATTTATATGGAAATAATAATGCAGTTTCAACTTTATTAAAATTATGCTTTTTATGATTATAAAAATAACAAAAGTGGAGAAATATGTGGGAAAGCAAGTATACAAAAATACTCAAATTGGAAGCCTGAGTGAATAATAGAATAAAACTTCACAGGAAATAGAAAGTAAATTGAATTTGCCCAGTGAACATTTATATCAATTAGCTGCCCACCTGCCTCTCATAAATGTAACAATACTAGGAAAAGATCAAAAAAAGATGAAGAAACGTTTCTCATAAAATTTTATGAGCAAATCACTATAATATCCAAGCATGTATTTTACTGCTAAATGCATCCAAGTCTTGTGAAGCTCCCCTAGTGGGTACCTTCATAAAAGGGACATGATGGAAACTTGCTTCAAATCGCAGGACTCATGTTAATGGGCTATCATTTAAACATACTGGGATGGAATGGAAAATTTTATTTTAAGCTGTGCTACTTTGTAGTAAATTGTTATAATATTTGTGACAACTGAGACTACCTAAAAATATATAATTTGTTGAGAAACATTTCATATGCACTAGGTGAACAGAAAACTAATTTGACTTCGTGATGCTATTACAAAGTGATGTATTTTAGAATCAGTTTTAGGAAATACTTTGAGCCTTCTTAATTGTAGCAATTGTACTTATGAAAGGTTCTATTTTTGAAATATTGCACATGATTGTTCGTTAGAAACATATGTTCTTATTTGTCCAGGCAGGGAGTTGAGGTGAATGGTGGGAAAAGCAAAGGAAGAGAGATTTTTCATTGTTACGTGTTTTACATCCTTTTAAAACCTGTGAATGACTTGATATATTGCCTAATTTTAATGAAATTCAACTGTAAAAAAGAAACACTTGCATTTCTTGTCTTTAATATAATATGGAAGCATTTGGCATAAATAGAATTTACTTCAGTCAAAAGCAACAATTTTTGTTACATATTAGCTGTACTGTCTATGTAACCTCTCAGAGGTGGCAATGATTCTATACACTGGGAAAAGAAAAGATTTCTAATCTATTTGTTGAGGATATAAATAACCATTCTTTTATTCCACGTTTATTAAGGTCCTATTCTGTGCAAGTACTGCTGTAGGTGCTATTAATGAATAAATATGTAGATTATTCTTGTGTCAGATATATGTATATTCTTCCCAATTAGGAAGGCCAGGTAAATATTATTTTTAAACTATAAAATAGGAAAAAGTAACATTATTCTTTCCCCCATAATTGTTTCATTTATTTATTGTTCATTAATTTGTTTCACCATTTTAAAAAATTATATAGTTTAAACAGAAAACGATTATAGATATTTTATTTTGCTATTTATGCATAATCTTACATTTGTAAAATGGCAAATGACATTCTTATCTAAATTAAGCACTTTCAGCATTACATATTATATTTAAATAGCTAACTGAAAAGACCAAACATTTAAGAAATAATCTCAAACATCTGGAAATACCTTTTCCATTTGAATGCAGTACTGTGAGCATATTCGTGTTACTATTTTCTTTCTCAAGGCAGCAAAGGCTATTGTGAGGCTGCCTATAATTGGTGATTAATTTGGGGGACTAGTCGATGTCATGGCCACTCTAGAATTAGGTTGTAAAACAATTTCTGTCTTGGCATTTGAAAATGAAAGTTCTTTCCTTCAATTGGAGTACCTTTGAGAGCCCGAAGTAGAGGTGGGTAAAGTTTTGAGAGGCATATCCAATGTTTGCAGTATATATATCTTTCACGTATATGGATTGAAAACACTGATTTCTTATACTTGTTAATGTTCACTTCCAATACTTCCTTAATTTTTAAGGTTTATCTATACATGAGAGTCAGTGTAGACTGCCATTCATCCTATATAAGAAGTGGTACATGTGGCTGAAAAATTATACCGATAAGGTGTAGTCCCGGAGTGGTTTTTCTTTTTTTTTTTTTTTTTTAAGACTTGCTCTACTTTGATTTACTACTGCCTGTATGACTCCTTTAGATCATTGCCCTGAGAGGACCCACGGGTAAGGAAAAGTTCAACTCTATTGCCAGTTCTCTGAACAATGACCTAAAAGGCTAGACACTGACACAGTGGAGCAGCATGTGGGATCTATTTCTCAATGTCATAATGAAGTTGCAAAAGGTCAGCTGAAACTAGTTACATAATGTCACCCTTTTAGATCACATAAATTATATATCTGCAAAGAAAAACTTTTTTTTTTGAGGGGTTTACTCTATGAAATTGCCTCAAATAGAAGTGACTTACCATTTCCAGGTCTGTCATTGATGTTTGCGATTCTGTGTGGGTGAAAACCTCATGCCTTGAATGTGTTTGCTTCTGAAAGGCTACTACACATGTGTGGAAGTCATCTTCACTCTGAGGAGGCAGGTCGGCTTTTACATGATGGGGGTCTACGCCCCAACCCTGCTCATCGTGGTTCTCTCCTGGCTTTCCTTCTGGATCAACCCGGATGCAAGTGCTGCCAGAGTGCCCCTGGGTAAGGTGTTCTATGCTTTTTTGTCACATCAGGAACAGATTATATCTTTATCTAACTTACCATATAATCAAATACTTTGGAACAATGAGTTTTAGAATTGTTAGCAACCAATTTCACTGTTTAAAGACTTTCTTGAAAACTTGATATTGAACTAGATTTTCTCAATGTTTATGCACTCTATAATTAAGCTAAGTTTCTCTTTTCATGTCCTTGGAGTATCATAAGCAGTTAATCTATTTTTCTGTCATGAAATAATTATTTAGAAGTGATTTTCACAGATAACTATGTCTAAAACCTTCAGTAGTGCCAAACTTAAAAATGAATAACTATTTTGAAGGAAGCCTTCCTGAAAAATAGTATGTATTATCACCTACTCTTAGTCAGGAAATAGTAATATAATTTGTTTTTTAAAAAAATTATGAAACATTATATAGCCATCATTTTCCCAACCATTGGTTATTTTGTGCTATATCAGGGCTGGTTGGCTCTCCCTTGAGGGCCATTGCTCTCCAGTTTATTTTTAATGCTTTGTGACATAGAAATGCCACCAGCCAGTCTTTTGAAAATCGTGTCTGCATAATGGCTAGAGAGCCTTTGCTTAAGGAAATAAGCAAGAGCCCTTCCTATGGATAAACTGAATAAACTTCAAAATATGTGCATTGTGTCAACAAATTTTGATTGATTGGAGTGTTTCAAAATTCTTTATTACTGTGTATCTGTGTGTTTTTCTGAATATCACCTGGAACTCACACAGGTAAGACTGTGATATGTCTGACCTCCTTAGTGAGTACGTAGTTGCTTCATTTAAATTTTCTTCCAATGAAAAGGCCTTGTGCAAATCTCTCTCCTGACTTATCGGAGGAATTAAATGAAATACAGATTTTAAAGAGTGGGAAACTAGGAAAGAAACCATGAAAATGGCAATGTAATCTGAAGAAGAATTTGTATTTTTACACCTAACAGAGATCACACAGACCAAATCTATAACCAAAAATGTAGGAAATTTCATCATGGATAAAAACTATGTATTATATATATTACATTTACTGGGAAAATAACCAAAAAACCTGAATTTAAATTCTTAGACTTGTCAAAAATATATATTTCTCTCAAATAATTTTTGTTGTTGTTATTAGAAGTTTCTTATGTTCATGCAGTGATATAAATGTCAGGCTTCCAAGAGCACTTTGGAGACATCCCAATTTCTGACATATCCTGTAAGAATTTTTCATCTGCATTCATTGCAGGACTTCTGATACCAGGTCCCTGAGCTGTGACTTAATATCCAGGAGACATGTTATTTGGAGAAGTGTTCAGAGACTGAAAGTCTGTCTCTAGAGTTAACCTGGGTTTGAAAGCCAGTTCTGAATTTACTAGCTGTGACAGGTTGGACAACAGATTTAACTTCTTTAAAAATAACTCTGCTGAAATATCAGCGGGGATGATAAAAATACCCAAGAAGCTCCAGAGAGTATTAAGAAAATGAGTGAAAGCCTATATTAACATTCAGAAGTTAATAATGAGCTACATTTTTATATTGCTTTACAGTTTGCAAAGCACTTCTACATATTTTGATTCCTTCAGCAAATATTTGTTTTGTGCTATGTGCTAGGTACTATTCAAGAAGATGGGGATGTTGTTAACAAAATAGGTGGCTAATAAATAGTTAATAAAATGCATTAAAACACATCTTAGCTTCAATGAGTATATATGTTATTGGGAAGAAACAGACACCAAATAAATATAATATATCATATGTAAGATAGTGATGTAAGATAGCAAGTTTGGAGGTAGCAAACTGCTTGTTAGAAAGGCCTCGGTGAGAGGGTGATACCGGATAGAGACATGAAGGAGGTGAAGAAATGAGTCATTTCTAGGACAGAGTGGGCCAGACAGTGATCATCTGGGCCGCATTCCTGAGGCAGGAGCATGCTTGGGCATTGCGGAGACAAGGAGGCCAGTGTGGCTGGAGCAGAGCAAGTCAAAGGGAGAGTAGTGTGAAAGGAGGTCAGAAAGATAACAGCGATGAGGGGTGGACTACGTAGCATCTGCTAAGACATCCTGATGATTTTGAGCTTTTTGTTTTTTGTTTCTGTTTTTGTTTTTTGATGGAGTCTCGCTCTGTTTCCCAGGCTGGAGTGCAATGGTGCAATCTCGGCTCACTCTGCACCGGTGGCATGAGCCATCACACCGATTCTAGTTTTTATTCAGCGTGAAATACAAAGTCGCTAAAAGCTTTTACACATGATCTGACTTAAATTTTAACCAGATCTCTTTGTCTACTTTGTTGAGAGCAGAATGACCTGGGGCAAGGGCAGAAGCAAGGAAAGCAGTTAGGAGACAATTGGAATAATTCAGGTAAATAATCATGGTTTGGGCTAGTGAGTAGTAGTGCAGGTACTGATAAATATTTGATGATGGGGCCGAGAGCAGTGGCTCTACCCTGTAATCCCAGCACTTTGGGAGGCAGAGGTGGGCAAATCACCTGAGGTCAGGAGTTGGAGATCAGCCTGGTCAACATGGCGAAACCCCGTCTCTACCAAAAATACAAAAAATCAGCCTGACGTGGTAGCGGACGCCTATAACCCCAGCTACTCGGGAGTCTGAGGACTGAGAATTGCTTGAACCTGGGACGCAGAAGTTGCAGTGAGCTGAGATTGCACCACTGCACTCCAGCCTGGGCAACAGAGTGAGACTCTATCCCCCGCGCCCCCCCAAAAAAATTAGATGATGAATGGTAGTGAAGGTTGAGATAAGAGGTATTTGTAGGTATGTTGAATGTGAGATTAAAGAAAGTAGAATCAGAGTTGACTTCAAGATTATTTTGGATGAAAAACTAGAAAGATGAAATTGACATTAGCCGAGATGGGCAAAGGTGCAAGTAAATACAGTGGGTTTGAGAAGATGGGCAGGCCAGGAGCTTTGCTTTAGACATGTTAAGGTTCCAGCGTCAGTTAGGTGGAGATATCAGATAGGCAGTTGGATATGCAAGTCTCGGTTTAATCGGACATTTCAGAACTGGAGTAGGAATGTAAACTTTGTCAAAATATAGATGGTTTTCAATCTCTGGTTGGAACCACAGGGGAGTAAGTGTAGGTAGAGATATCTACTTCTAAGAGGGACTGAGAAAATGAAGAACAACCAGTATGACGGTTCCTAAAAGTCAAGTGGAGAAAGTATTTCTAGGTCAAGAAAGTGATCAACCAACTGTTCATGGATCAATGACATTTAGAGCTAAAGGTTACCATTAGGTTAAAGAAGCTGGGGAGGTCACTGGCATCCGTGGACAGTTTCTTTGAAGTGAGAAGAAAGCCTGATTGGACTGGCTTCAGGAAAGAAGATGAGGGGGGGATTGGAGATATTTAGTATAAATAACTCATTGGAGGTTGTTAGCTGTAAAAAGAAAAAGAATAAGAAAATAGCTAGGGTAAGAATAAAAGTCAAGAGAGTGTTTTTCATTTTTTAAAGGTAGATGAATTCATAGTATGTTGAGTTTATTTTTGATGAAGGACAACCAGTAGTGAAGGAAACATTGAGAGATGGACAAAGTGCAGGAGCAGTGACCTTGAGAAAGGAAGAGGGGATTAGATCCAGGAAATGGAGCTATTGCCCTTTGCTGGAGCAAAATGTGTTTGTCCCAAAGGTAAGCAAGCTCCTATAAGAGGCCAGAGAGTAGACATTTGAGGTTTGTGGGCCATATAGTTTCCGTCACTCCATTCAACTCTGCACTTATATGTTCTATGTGAAGCAGCCACAGACAATATATAACTGAACAAGTATGGATGTGTTCTAACAAAACTTTATTTGTAAAATAGGTGGGTCAGATTGGCCTACAGGTCATAGTTTGCTGATCCCTTGTTCTTAGTATCAGAAGAGAAGGCAGAGTATATGGACACAAAGGGAGGTAGATGGGTAGATATTTAAACAGTTGTGTGGGCTACCACCTCTTATTTGGTGAAATATACCAATTGATTTCTAGATGTTAGATGAGTTGTGAATTACTAGAACAATAAGTATTCGTAGTACTCCCTTTTCCTTTTAATGTCAGGCTGTAGTAGTAATGTTCCATCTTTCATTCCTGTTATTATTACATCGTGAATTTTCTGTTTATTTTCTTGATCACTCAAGCTAAAGGCTTTTCTACTTTATTGATATTTTCAAAGCACCAGCTTTTATCTCATTAATTTTCTCTGTATGTTTATTTTCCTTTTTATTGATTTTTAGCTGTGTTTATTATTTCCTTTCTACTTACTTTGCATTTGATTTGATCTCTTTGTAATTGCTGAAAGTAGGACTCAGATAATTGGTTTTAGAACTTTCTTCTTTTCTAACATGAACATTTACAGTTGTAAATTTCCCTGTAAGCATTGCTTTAACTTCAGTGCACAAATTTTGATATATTATATTTTCATCTTTCAGTTGAAATATTTCATAACTTATCTTGTGATTTCTTCTTTGGCCCATGGATTCTTTAGAAACGTATTTAGAGTTTCTCTGGGTACCTGAATATGATTGCTTTCTAACTTAATTCCATTTTTGTCAGAGAATATACTCACTGACATCAATTCTTTTATGTGTATTGAGACTTTTTTTAAGCAGCCCATTCTAGCCTATGCCTCCTGATAAACACTATGTGCACGTGCAGTGTGTATTAGTCATTGTGTGCTGTTGTGTTCTGGAAGTATCATTACAGTCAAGTTGGTTAGTAACTCTGTTGAAATCTTTTATCTCTTTTGCGTAGTTATTGTTATTGGTGAGAGATGTTAAGATCTCCAATTATAATTTTGGAATTATGCTGCAGGTATTTGGAAGGTCTGTTATTAGACCCCAAATTATAATTTTATCTAAAAAGAAAAGGAAGTAATACTGACTCAGACTAAATTTCAGGATATCCAGTTAATATAGCTGTTTTGATTCTGCATATCTTTCCTTACTCTACTATTTTCCCCCTACATTCTCCCAAAGGATTAAATAAATAAGTTTACCAGTCTCTTTTGTTATGGTGTGTAGTTTTTATTTTCTGGAAGTTAGCAGACAACATAGAGAATAAAGTAATACTTAAAATGCCCTAGATTCATTTTCCTTTTTAAAAAATTAGTTTTGTATTCTACTTTTATTTTTCACCCAGCCTTTTTGTGATTAGCTTTCCCCATTGTTAACAAACATCAAAGATTCCCTGGTGAATTTTAGGTAATGACTTTTGTCTTAAGCTATTTCTCCAAGTATGGAACTAACTATGCACAGAACTATTGAAGTAATGTTTTGTAATACTCTTAACTAAGTAAACTATACTATATCTTTTCCTGTTACATAAAATACTTTAGTTGCTGCTAAAGGGAATACATTTTTTTAACAAATAACTTTCAGTTATAAATACAAAAAGATTAATAATTTGGGTCAAAGTTTCCTTTCCTTTTAGTATTCTTTAACTAAAAATTATGAAATGATAATATGCTAACATAATGTATTAATAGTAGTACTTTTAAATGCATTTTCATTTTATTAACAGCAATTTCAAATATACAAATTTGGTGATTATCACAGTATGAGATAAATTTTTTGGAGCTTAGATGGGAGTTGGCATGTGTGCAATTGCAATTGCTCCTTGACCTGCTCTGTTGATTCATGGCATTGGTTATGAATAGCAAATGCCATACTGTATCTGCTTTCCATTTCTTTTCTTTTCCTTTTTTAAACTCTCTTTTCCTTTCTTTCTTCCTCTCTTTTCTTTCCTTATTTTTTCTTCTCTTTTCTTTTTCTAGTTTTCAATTTTTCTCTATGCACCAATACATTCCTAGTATATATGCTGTTAGGGAATTATTTTTCAGATTCTTCCTCTGTGATTGGCTGGACAGTAAATCTGTGGACATGCAATTCTGTCTCCATTTTGATGAGCTAAATAACTTCAACCCTGACTTGTTTATGGAAGATTTTGTTCAATTCAACCTCCTTATATAGCTTATTTATTAATAATTTAGTTTATATCATTTGTTGGCTTTAACTTTTCATAGATGAAGACTCTACATCTATTTGTAAGAGTTTGTATCAATTTCATGACATTTTCCCAGATTTGAAATCTAGGTCTGATTTTGGAGGAAACAGTGTGACAAATAAGGTCTATATAATTTAAACATGTTTTAGGAGCATCAGAGTAATTTATTAAGGACATAATATTAACACTATAAAAATCATTTTTTTTTTTTTGAGATGGAGTCTCGCTCTATTGCCCAGACTGCAGTGCAGTGGTACAATTTCAACTCACTGCAAACTTCGCCTCCCGGGTTCAAGTGAGTCTCCTGCCTCAGCCTCCAGTGTAGCTGAGATTACAGGCATGTGCCACCACACCCAGCTGATTTGCTTTTTGTATTTTTAGTAGAGACTGGATTTCACCATATTGGTTAGGCTGGCCTCGAGCTCCTGACCTAAGGTGATCCACCCACCTCGGTCTGCCAGAGTGCTAGGATTACAAGCATGAGCCACCGCACCTGACCAAATTCCACACATTTATGGGCAATGGCTTTACATTTCTTTCTGTTTCTAATTTATTACAATTTAGATAATTTCACCATGTACCATTTAACAATGAAGTAATCCCATTTGAAGGCTATATTATGATAATGCTAAAATATTTTTACAAAGTAGCATTATTTGCTCAGATTTCTTATTTTTGGATAGAAAATGCTAATAGGTAGTTTCTATTATAATATGATTTTCCCAAGATAAGGCACATAGTTTATGTTCACCTTCTTCTTAACTTCTTCAGTTTTCCTTCTTAAATCTGATATGATAAAATCTTGAATTCACTACCATTGTTTCTAACTGAATGTGTGGAATTATGAATACTCTCCTTTTGCCTCCAAAATCTATAAATATTCTGTCACTCCTTTTAAAGACAACCCTTTCATCTGTTTCTTCAGTCAGTCCCCCTTTTCTGACACCAAAGCATCTTTACCTCACAAAGTCCTCTCTCTTTTCAGACATCTATCTGAATGATATTGGCTAATCTTTTCAAAAAGTTCTTTCAGATTCCCAGGTGCACTGTGCTGTGTCATGATCATCGGTTCTTGTTTCTTGACCTTTATCTAATCTTTCAATGTTTTCCTGACAAAGTCATCTTCTTTTCTATAGGCCTCTCCCCTCTTTTTATGGAAACTCTTCCAGTCATCCTGTTCATAACTTTGTCTCAATTTTTTTCTTCTTCCTTGAATCAGTAACTCTTTTCAAATGTTTTCTCTAAAATTCTTTCACATCTGTCCCATAATCTAGGTCTTTATTTCCTGATACTTTGTTTCCCCAACTACTATTTTTCTTTCTCAGTCTAGTTTGTATATCTACACCAAAGTAATGCTACTTAAACATTCTTTTGATAATGCAATTTCTCTTTCCTTAATTTCAAATTTCTGAATATTCTCTACCAAACATGGTATAAAAAGCCATTACAGAACTCTAAAGGTCTTCTATAATCTGAAATTATTCTCTATTTCATTATAAAGTTTCTAATCTATCAGGATAAATATTCAGGTATACAACTTAGCTTACTACAATTTAATATCTTCTAGGTTATTGATCAGCATGAAATGCTATGGAAACACAGAAGATAGTGTCAAAATAGTTTATCTCAAGGAAATAAGTTAGGCTTGTTTTTGAATGGTAATTTGACTCACAAAATTTGACAAAGAATAGAAAAATTAACTTAGAATGACAGTTTGCCAAGTTAATTCCCATGGCTATAATCAACTGTAGTTTAGGGCAGTAGTTGATAAGGTATTGGATTTTTATGTTTCTTTCCACTTCCAGGCTAGAAAACATTAAGACCTACATTAACTTTTAAAATACAGTTCTATTAATTAGTTCTTAGTTTTCCTCAGGGCCAAGGATAATTATAGTAAAAGTAACCTAGGAGCTTATCAAGTTGTTGTATATTGAATATTGTTTTCATCCACAGAAATTATATTTGCTTAACATGTTTCTTTCTAATAGAGAGTATCTTAGGTTCTTGAATGCAAAATACATTTTTTAGAAGCTTCTGAAATGATGCAATTGGTATATTTTTCAATGTTTAACTGATTATTAATATTAATATAGTACTTATAATTTCATGGGAAGGGAAAAGAGAGTCAAGCAGACATTTAATTATTATGGTGATACATACATTAATTCTCGTAAGTGGCCAAATCTAAGAAGAAAAAATTATACTCAACCCAGTATGTGAGATGGACTCACAGAGTCAAGTCAGATCTGTTTTCTCCTTCAAGTAAAGTGAGTCTCCCTTGACATTGAATGAGTTTTCTTTTCTGACTCAGCATGTTCCTGATAGCCCATGTCAACAGGTTATAACTACAAAATACATTTCATCATCTCCTCTCTTGAAAATACGAAGGAAAAGAAAAAGAGAGCGGAATGGGAGAGAGGGTGGCATTTGGGAAGAGAAAGAGCAATAAATTATTGCAATTCTTCTTTGGAGTCTGACAATTACTTTACTTAAATTTGTATATAATGTGTTAGCTTTCATTGAAAGGTTACCATTACGTGGGGCAGACCTTTATTCCTTTCTTTGGAAATCTGGAATCATATGTTCTCCCTAAACAGGAATATTTCCTATTGTGTCTTTTCTATTAATTTTTCTTATTATGAACCTTATCAAAAAATTACTTTGTATGTTCTATTCTTGCTCTGATTTAGTTGCTCATGGGGACAAAACTCAGCTCCATAACTGAAATCTTTCTCAAACAAAGCTGAAAAATAACATACATAATCTGTCTAATAACAGATCTCTGTGTCTTCCTCAGACATACTATACGGTAGTTTTAGAAATCTTTAATATTGAAAACAGGTCCAAATTATATTTTTATACCCTGATTTAAATTTCTATTTATTTTTTAAAATCCTAAGTATTTACAAAATCCTCAACCATAGTCAATAATCCTTACATAAAAGGCATGTACCTATTATTTCTCCTGCTCTTTGAGCTTTAAGGGGACCTGACGAATTGTTCATGGTTCATTGGAAGGTACTGGAGGTGGATTTCGTCAAAGAGTAATGACCGCAGAACGTCTCATAGGGATAAAAAGCAACTTTCATTCCTCTTTCTGTTTCTGTAGGTATCTTCTCAGTCCTCAGCTTGGCCTCTGAGTGTACAACCCTTGCTGCTGAGCTTCCCAAAGTTTCCTATGTGAAGGCTCTTGATGTTTGGCTCATTGCTTGCCTTCTCTTTGGGTTTGCTTCCCTGGTGGAGTATGCGGTGGTCCAGGTGATGCTGAACAACCCCAAAAGGGTTGAAGCAGAAAAAGCCAGAATTGCTAAGGCTGAGCAAGCAGATGGAAAAGGTGGAAATGCGGCTAAAAAGAATACTGTGAATGGAACAGGGACTCCTGTTCATATTAGCACTTTGCAGGTAAGGATAAAATTATCCCATGAAATCATTTCCCCCAACCTCTTCATAGTGTCAAGAGAGAGATCCTTTTGTGTATGTGACAAGTTTTGATGAAATTGGCATTTGCTTGTTTTTCTCTCACAGCTGAAAAGAAACTGAGCACAACACACTTTTTGGGAAACGTGCTTTTTAGAAAACATTCAGAACATTTAGGTCAAATACCACTTAAGAAAAAAAGTAATGCCTTATTAAATTTGTTGAGAACTTTGCACTGAGTTTAAGGATTCAACTCTGCTTTGATGGTCACCATTGAATATGGAGACCCTGCTGGAGCACAGAGCTTCCTATTGTTTCTCATTCAATATATCTTAATGAAAGGCCAGAGGACCGTGGGGCATCACTGATCATCTGCCTTACATAAAAAGGCTTGGAGAAGCCTATGCTCATGATTAAATTACCCACCATTCCCCATTAAGTTAGAGAACTTCACTTGGAGCATGTCAGGAAGGCTACTTGTTTATTGGATGTCTGTCTCAGGGAAACGATGCCCTCAGTTAGGAATCTATCCTGCCCAGCAGTGAGTGGCAGGAGAAGGAATATTTAAGATTTTACCCCATAACGCTGTCTTGTCAATTGATTATGGGTCTAAGAATAGTGGACGATGATAAATCTCAAAGAACTAGGCTGTGTAAAGGATTGAGGTTAGCTGTCCATTTACCCCAATGTGCCCTTCATAGATGCCCTCTGGATGGGTGGACCAGTCAACCAGAAGACCATTTCCATTGAGCTAAGAGCAGTAAATTCCACAGAAGACCAGTAGGTCCATTCCATCCTACAGCCTTGAAAATCTTACCTTCCATGCTTTTCCTCTGGTCAGACAATTACTCTATCAGTTTGTTAATCACCACTACTCACCCTACCTAGAATGCTAGACAAGTATACCACATGTGCTTTTTAGGTGCAGAAGCAAAGGAACCATGCTTATATGGTGCTGCCTATGGCCTTTAAACAACTGTTTAAGTCATTTATACTCATTTTCTGAGCCTAAAGCCAAGACCCTCTGCAAATACTTAGCTGAAACCTTCAGGGAGGCTTCTTGAGGCCTTATAACTCCTTTATGCCTTTCATGAAGAATAAGGAGAAAATTCGCATTAGTCTAGTGCTATCTTGGCCTTAAAGATGTCCTTAATATATCTTTTTCATACTTCTACCTCCAATATTTCTATTTCATTATATTTGAAATGAGTTTCTTCCAGAGAACATATAGTTGGTGTTTGGTATTTAAACTGCTCTGCCATTCTCTTATGTTTGAATTGGTATATTTAGATCATTTCCATAATGTAATTATTGATACAACAAGGCTTTACTTTGTGTTTTATTTTTCTTTGTTTTGTTTATTTTGGTTTTTGTTTCTCTGTTTTCTTTTTCATTTTTTTTTCTTCTTCTTCTTCTTCTTTTTTTTTTTTTATTTATTTTTTGAGGTGGAGTTTCACTCTTGTCGCCCAGGCTGGAGTGCAATGGTGCAATCTCGGCTCACCACAACCTCTGCCTCCTAGGTTCAAGTGATTCTCTTGCCTCAGCCTCCTGAGTAGCTGGGATTACAGGCACCCACCACCACATCTGGCTAATTTTGTGTTTTCAGTAGATACAGTGTTTCTCCATGTTGGTCAGGCTGGTCTTAAACTCCTGACCTCAGCTGATCCACCCACCTCAGCCTCCCAAAGTGCTGGGATTACAGGCATGAGCCCCCACGCCTGGCCCTCTTTTACCTTTTTTAATGTAGGTTACTTGAACATTTTTTTTGAATTTCATTTTGAGCTTTCTGTGTTGTTTTTAAGTGTATCTCTTTGTTTAACTTCTTTAGTGGTTGGTCTGGATAAGATATGCGTGCATAACATCACAATCTATTGGTGTCATTATTTTGCTAGTTTTTGTGATGTTTGAAAACGTTACCTCTTTTCTCCCTTAAGCTGATGTTTACAATTGTCTTAAATACTTCTGCATACATTTATAATCACATTATAGTTTTTGCATCACCATCAAATATAATTTAGAAAACTCGAGGAGAAGAAAATCTTATTGTATATTTTTGCTCACTGTGTTTTTCTTTCATCTTCATATATTCCAAGGTTATATCTCTTTTATTATTTTCTGTTTAGAGAATTTCCTGTTTTGTTTTTGTTTTTGTTTTGTTTTGTTTTTTTGAGACAGAGTTTTACTCTGTTGCCCAGGCTGGGGGGTGCAGTGGCGTGATCTCAGCTAATGCAACCTCCGCCTCCTGGGTTCAAGCAATCCTCCTACCTAAGCCTCCCAAGTAGTTGGGACCAGAGGTATGTGCCACACCACACCTGGCTAAGTTTTATATTTTGGTAGAGACAGGGTTTCCTCATGTTGGCCAGACTAGTCTCAAATTCCTGGCCTCAAGTGATCCGCCTGCCTCAGGCTCCCAAAAATGCTGGGATTATAGGCATGAGCCACCGCGCCTTTTCAGGAATTTCCTTTACCCATTTTTGGATAGGTCTGTGGGTGACACATTTTTTTACTTTCCCTTTATCTGAGAATGTCTTGATTTCTCCTTCATTGTTGAAGGATATTTTCTCTAGGTGTAGGATTGTGAGGCTACAATTCTATATGCATTTCTTTTAGCACCTAAAAAGTATTCTTCTGGCCTCCATGGCTTCTGATGAAAACTAGTTGTTCTGATTGTTTTTCCCCTGTAGGTAAAGTGTCACTTATCTCTGGATGCTTTCAAAAAAATTGTTTGGTCTTTTGGTCGAGTAGTGATCAGAAGTTTAATTATGACATGTCTCTGTGTGGATTTCTTTGAGTTGATCTTGTTTGAGATTTTTTTAGCTTGTTGAAAATGTAGGTGTATGTTTCTTGCCAAATTTGGAAAGTTTTCAGCTATTATTTCTTTGTGTACTTTTTCTGACTTGCCCTCTCTCTTCTCTTTTCAAGACTCCAATAACACAAATGCTAGATTTGTGATACAATTGTCCCTGGGTACTGTAGGGAACTGGTTTTAGGACTCTTGTCAGATACCAAGGTTTGCAAATGCTCAAGTCTCTTGTATAAAATGTGAAACTTGGACATTTATTATTTTTGCTTAGGATTGCTTTGGCTACTCAGGCTCTTTTTTAGCTCCATATAAGTTTTAGGATTGTTTTCTCTAATTCTGTGAAAAATGATATTGGTATTTTGATAAGAATTACATTGAATCTATAGATTGCTTTGGGTAGTGTGGTCATTTTCACGATATTGATTATTCCAATCCATGAGTATGGGATGTGTTTCCATTTGTTTGTGTAAGGTTATTTTCTTTTTTTTTTTTTTTTTTTTTTGCTGCATTGTAAGAGAAATTGAGTTCTTAATTTGATTCTCAGCTTGGTCGTTGTTGGTGTATAGCAATACTATTGATTTGTGTACATTGATTTTGTAACCAGAGACTTTACTGATTTTGTTTATCAAATCTAGGAGTCTTTTGGAGGAGTCTCTAGGGTTTTCTAAGTGCACAGTCACATAATTGTTGAACAGCAGTAGTCTGACTTTATCTTTTCTAATTTGGACGCCCTTTATTTCTTTTTCTTACCTGCTTGGCCTGGCTGGAACTTCTTTGACAATGTCTTCTGTAATCTCCCAGTACACTGATTTTTTTTTCCTCTGCCCTTTACATTTTCCTGTTGATCTAATCTATGAGCTTTATAGTTTCCATTTGGTATGTATGTATTTTTTTCATTTGTTCCAACTATGTTCATAATTGGTCACTGAATTATTTTTATCATGAATGTTGTAATATCTTTCTCAGATTTCTCAGAATTTTTTTTGTCTTTTGTTGTACAGTTTGAGATCTTTCCCGGTTTTTTGTATGATGAGTGATTTTGTATTGAAACTTGGACATTTTGATATTATATTATGAGACTCTGAATCGTGTTTAAGCCTTCTGTTTTAACTGGCTTTCTCTGACTCTGTTCTGTCAGGGGAAGGATGGGTGCTGCCTCATTACTTCCAAGCAGAGGTACAAGTCCAGGTGTCCCACTTGGTCAGGGTAGAGCTCCTTGTTACTGCTGGGTGGGATTGGGGGTCACCAGTTCCCCATGCTGTCTCTACCAACACAGCAGCAGGGTTTGCCTTCATGTGGAAGTCCTGACCCTCCATGGCCTCCTGTGACATCATCTCAGTGTTGAAGAGGAGGAGCATCTTGTTACTGCTGGGTGTAGGTGTAAGTCCATACTCCCTACATAGTTTCCATAGACACTGTGGCAGGGATCAGGGCCTTGCTCCTGGTCTACGGTGATGGAAGCCCTGGATCACCACTTGACACTACTTCAGTGGAGATCAGACTGCCTCATCACAGCCTTTTTAAAGTCCAAGCCTTGGCCCCCTCACCTCTTGGATGTTGCTGGCATGTCTTTTGGGGTGGGGTGGGAGCACATTTTTTTCTGTACTATTTGCCAAGAATAGAGAGGTTAATATCTAAAAGTGTTCTGTGTTGCTGGGCTGACCCTTTCTTTGTTCTTTGGCTAAACAGACCAGGCCGTTGGGGCTTTTCTTGTCTGCACCTGTTGGCATTTCCACTTGCTGGCTTCTTTAGCCCCAAATCCGGGATTATATGAGACGGAAAGGGAATGCAGGAACTCACCATTGCATGGTTCCTTGGGTCCCGAGTCCCCGGGTTGATCTGCTTCCTCTTCTCTCCCTTTCACAGTCTCTCTCTCTCTCCCTCTGTGGGTGTGTGTATGTGTGTGTTTTAATGTAATGTCCAGGATTTTTTGTTGAACTTAGCAGGAGGAATAGGAAAGGTATGTCTACTCTATCTTTCTGGATGTAGAAGTCCTCTATGCTTTTCAAGGCCCTCAGCATCCTCATCATACCTGCACCCTGCTTACCACACTCTAATAATTCAATAGATTTGTCAGTGGGCTACTCTTAACACTTTCATTGTTGTTGCTGTTCTGTCTACTGGGTCGTTTCAGACTTACTGCAGTCCTACACCAGGAAAACAAACATTTGGAGTAATTTTT